AGCTGACATCATGTGCCTTCTGATGTGTTGCATTAAGAACTACATAACATTATTTGATTTTGGAAATCTGCAAAAAAAAAAAAAGAACTACATAACATCAATTATGATATATCCTTGACAAAAATATTTAACTTGAATTAATTCATAACAAAACAATAGGACAAACACAGTGTATGGGACATTCTACAAAACAACTATCTTGGACTCTTCAGAGAAGTTAATGTGGTGAAAACCAAAACAACAAAAACAAAAAGGATAGTGATGTGAATACTCTTCAAACTGAAAAGAGCATAAAGAGCAAACCACCAAATGCAATGCACAAGCCTAGATTGAATCGTGAACAACAAAAAAAGAAAAAGCTACAAAAGACAATTGGGGAATTGAGTATGGTTTAGTATCCTGGTTATGTAGGAGAATGCCCTTATTCTTAGGGGATGCACATTGAAGTATGAAGGATAAGTATCGCCATGTACACAACTTCTGATTAGTTCAGAAAATCAATGAGGACATAAGTCTGTTTTGCAAAGGGGTGCTGTATCTATGCCTGCCTATCAAAATACAGTATATACAAATGTATATACAATATAAATACAGTTAAACATAAAATGTATATAGTATACATATGCATATATGGCATACGTATAAATAGTAGACCCCCCCCACACACAGTTTCCGTTTCCATAGTTTCAGTCACCTGTGATCAACTGTGGTCCGGTATGTAAATACTACGTGGAAAATTCTAGAAATAAGTATTCATAAGTTTTAAACTGTGTGCTATTCTTAGGAGATTAAATCTCCCACTACCGTGCTCCATCTTACCCAGAACATGAATCATCCCTTCATCCAGCATATCCATGCTGTAAATGCTACCCATCCATTACTATACAGGAAAAAACATAGTGTATGTAGGAGTTTGGTACTATCTGTGGTTTCAGGCATCCACTTACAGTCTTGGAATATATTCCCCATAGATAAGGGAGTATTACTGCACAGCAAAGAAAGTAAAGGCAAATTTTCATTGCAAAGAATCATTAAATTAACTTTAAGTATGTGCTACCTTTAAAAGCAAAAAGTGAGAAATCAGACTCATCCTCAAAAACCTCTTGAATCATTCTACGAAACAGAATGAACATGGATTATGTACATATAACTTTGCATAATAATTCTTATGTATATAACAGTTTGAGATGCAATGATAGACTAAAAGGAAAACCCATATAAGACTTCTGGACATCTAAGTCATTGTGGCCTTAATACAACTATCAAATTACATAGACACAAATGGGAATTGGTTGAAAATTTCTAAAGTGCTTTTGACTATGGATATAAGTCTTTGCATTTTGAGCCATGTCATTTATATACCTGAGAATGGTCTTTTGTTTTTGCTGTTATAATGCTTAAATGAAACATGGGGTCACATCATGCAATGGTTTGGGGTCTAAAGTTTTCTTTAGTCCCTTAGTGAAACTGTGTGCAAGATATCCCCTACGGCAAGCTTTAAAAGCCAAGTTGCTCCTTAATTTGTTCCCTACCTTAGAACTCAAACTCTCTCAAGGCACTTGCAGAAAGACAGATCTTTTACAAAGCATCACCTACCAGGGCTCAGGTGAACCATGTGTTATTTCATTCAGGCAACTGACATATTATACTGGTATTCACATCTCAACTGCACTTCCTTCTGCTCGTCCCCATACTTTTCTTTAAAAATTTAGGCAGCCCAACTCTATGGTAACATCTCTATATATTATTTCCATGGTTTGATTCTGAATCTTTGTTTTTTCAGGACTCATATTTCCCAGTGTTGTTTACATTCATTTGGGATACAATTAATACTTTTATTCCATCCTGGTAAATCTGCTCACTCTTTGCTGCTTCATGTTCTGCCCTCTTCCCACGCACATACTCCAGGCTGCCTGCTAAAGCTCTGTCATTTCTTGTAGTCCTGTCTTATTCAGTAATTTATGTTACCAGCAGCAGATACAAGTAATTGTGTGCACATAACAGAATTTAACCTTTCAACAATCTGCTTTAAGACTCAGATTTACTTACAAATTAACATCAATGACTTACAAAAATTAAAGGAGAAAAAATATGCATTATGGTGCTTTTAAGTCATTCCTCTGATAGTCATTAATGTATCCTTGAACTCAAGGCTGTTCTTACAGCAATTTAATTTCTAAGTGATCTATTTCTGATAGCAATATCAAAAATACTACTGAACTTTTATTTGACATGTAATGCAGAGAGAAATATTAAAATTTAAAGATGATTAGGTAAATGCATATCAATGTTTTCATAATTTATGAGACAAACTTAAAATATATATTGGGAAGCTAAATCTGGATGTGTACTACTAGCTTAAGAATTGTACCTGACAATGTTTGAAGATTCAAAGTATATCAAATCTATTTCATTTGCTTCACAACTATTTCCAAGCACCAAAACTGTGTCAGGTCTTCCTCTGAACACTGGGGATATGGTGATTAACAAAACCAAAAAAAAAAAAAAAAAAAAAAAAAATCTCCTACTTTCACAGATTTTACCCACTATAGGAAGGGCATGGAGAATGAAACTGGGAACACTGTCATTTTAAACTGAGTGGTCAGGATGATCTCACTGAGAAACAGGTGCCTGAGCAAAGACGAGCAGGTGATAAGGGAGAAATGCCAGGTGGAAACCAGGAGGAAGGCACTGCAGGGAGAGGGAAGAGCAGAGGCAAATGCTCCAAGGATGGGGGAGCTGGTCATGAAGGAGGTGGCCAGGAGGCCAGCGAGGCTGGAGCTGAGAAAGTGGGGAAGAGCGCCAGGAGATGATGAGAGACAAGTTAACAAAGGCTGCACCTTGTGTATGGGCCACTGCAAAGACTTACTCTGAATGAGACAGGAAGGCATTGGAAGGTTTTTGGTAGAAGAGAAGAACAATCCAGTTTACACTTTAAGAGGCTCTCTGGCTGCTCTGCTGGGAGAAGCACAGTAGTGGGGAGACCAGTTAGGAAACTATGGCAATCATTCAGGAGGGGGTAAGAACTGGTTGGTTCTAAATACAGGAACAAAAGCATTTGGTGACAGATTGGGCATGGGGTATGGGAGAAAGTGAGCACCAAAAGAAAGCTGCAAAATGTATAGCCTGACAATCTGGAAGGATGAAGTTGCTATTTACTGAAATCGGGTAACTTTGCAGGAGAATGTCAGTTCAGTTTGGACATATAAAGTATGAGACACTTATTAATACTCAAGTAGAAATAGAGTAAGCAGCTGAATATGAATCAGGAGTTCAGGGGAGAGGTCTTGGCTAGAGATAACAATTTGTGAGTTAGCAGCATATAGATGGAATTTATGGATGAGACATATTTACCTATAACAGAAATTAGAATGTTCTTTATGCTATTAAAGATGAAAAAACTAATATATTTATTTGTAAAACATAAAATAATTATAAAGCAGGCCCTTTCTAAATCCACTAATAGTTCCCATTTTAGTAAACCATGTGTTGAACACTGATAAAATGTAACAGCACAGAGATATTTATAAGGATTTAAAAGGTGTAATACAAGGGTTCCCCTACTCTCAGCAGAACTTACATTTAGTCGAGAAGGAAGATATATTAATAATACAAGGGAATGACTGAAGAGGGGAGAAAACATCAACTGTATACTCTTGACAATAACCATGCCACTAGGGATGCTACTTGGGAAAGAAGAGCAAGCCGGACAGTGGAAAGACATTTGACGGTGTGTATTAGTTGTTCCATAGACTATGGGATGGCAAAATGGCAATGCCATACGGTGGCCAAAGTCATGATGGGTGATACATGAAACCTGTTAGCTTATCAACCCTGCAGGGATCAGGGACTTGGTGGCCAATTATTTCACTAGCGCAAATGAGCCATGTTACACTGCATCTCATCACTCAATCGATGAAAGTCTCTCTCAAGATGGGCTCTGGGGATAAGAATATTCTTTCATTTGTTTCTCATCTTTTCAGAAGTTGCTATCAGGAAACTGGAACAACAGGCCCTCTATAGCTACCTTCCTCCAGCTAGTACTGTTTCTTTCCAACTTTTAATTCCCCTCCTAGTGGATCTCTCTTGGTGCTCAAACTGATTTTGCTTTTTTTTTTTTTCCCTTTCTCAGCTTCAGCTCTGACTCCTACACTAAAATACAGTCATGTATCATTTAATGACAGGGATATATTCAGAGAAATACAACACTAGGTGATTTCATCATCCTTGCATGAACATCACAGCATGCACTTACACAAACGTGGATGGTACAGCCTACTACATACTGTGGCTATAGGGTATAGCCTATTTATTGCTCCTAGTCCACAAATCTTATAGCTACTCAGTACTATAGGCAACTATAACACAATGTGTATTGAATCATAGAAAAGTTACAGTCACAGTGCAGTATTATAACCTTATAGGACCACCATCTTCTATGTAGTCCATCCTTGAGCAAAACATGTGGTACATTACTGTGTCTTCTCCACAGCTCACCTAGAAACTCCTCTGCCTTAATCTTCCAGGTCACAGAAGCTATTCATAACCCCATTTTCCTTCAGGAGAAAAATAAGATCACTTCCCCAAGACCGCTGCTTCTTTGGTTGCTCACTACCCATCATATTCCAGAACTTTTCTTTGTTCCCACACAACAAAATCTACTTTCAGTATTCCTAAAAAATCACAATAAAACAGTTGTAAAATACCTGATGACTAGTATAGAATTGTCTCTATTTTTGCCAATTTTGACTCATTAGCTCCTGTCAGCCATCAGCAGGTAGGCATTAACAGGAGTCTTGTTGCCCCTCAGTGCATACGTAAATACTCCTATGAATATTTAATGCTTCCTAACGATGTGTTGCCAGCCTTGGCAATGATGGAGTAGAGAGTCATAGTACTTTCTTGATTTGTGAAGGTTCCTCAATTAAGGAACTTAAGATATTTCCCAGTGCATATAAGGACATCTCTGCATAACATACTGCCACCTCTTAAGTACTTACTGCAAGCAATTTCCAAACAAATGCTGTCAACTCTCGGCACAGGACTGGAGATCTTATTGATCCAGATCTGAAAATCAAAAGTATCCATGGCAGTGAGTTCACCGCTCTCCTAGGAATTACATGAAGGTGGCTAACGTATATACTTCTTTTAATAATTATCCTTCATCCCAAAGACTAGAATTAAGAATTAAGAATGTGTTCATCACACATGCTTCATAAGCCTCCCCAGACAGCCTTTTCCATACAGAGACAACAGAAGATGAATTCCAAGTAGGCGGCTGGCAAGTAGTCAGCAAAGCCAGCATGGTATTTCAGAGGCAAACTAGGTTTCTTTTCATTAAACACAAAACTACTTTGAAATGTGGGAGGTAAGTGTTCACTCCAGTTGACAGAACCATTTTCTACTCCCTGCCCCTCTGGTGGCTCTGTAGCTGGTGGAAGTGACACACTCATAGCAATGGGAGGGAAGATGTAATATCCACTGCTCCTGGAGTTACTTAAGACCAACATCCTATTTCACAAATTAGAACAGGTCAATAATATCTCCTTTAATGTGATATACGAGGATGGCACACAGGTCCAAAAATAAATCACTAATACCTACTACAGATGATTTGTGGTGCACAGCTTTGCGCATGTGACAGAGAAAGTCAACCTCAAAATGTTGCTACCTATTATTTTTTTTTTAAAAATATCACCAGTACCCCTTTCTCTTTTTCATCAGACTTTTCAGGTCATCACACAGAAAATCAGACCCTCAGAAGACCAGCATCATGTATGACCTCCATAGTCACCTTTATTGGCCTAACTTGAGCTTCAGAAAATAGAATTACATAAGCAAAGACCACTCATCAAAAGACTCAATTCAACTACAGGCTCAGATACTCAGATAATAGAGTGTGCTTTGCAGTCTAATAATGAGAATAGGCTTAGAGCACATGTTACAGAAGCAGAGAATATCACAAAAGTAGTAGGATCTCTTTAAGCTCACAAGGTTCTCAAAGGTTTGAAACTAGCACCATTTCTTGAAAAATTTGTTTTCAAATAACTTAATAAAAGAAATAAGCAATTACAAAATCAAAAGTAAAATTATTAAGAATGACTAAAAATTACAGATATTGATATATATGCACTGCCTATACTTAAAAACTGTTTAAGGTAAGAATAACTAATGGATAATAATCAGTAAGATCTTATTTAAGGCTTTTATTAAGCAAATATGTTAAATTTGATTGTGCCACTGGGTCCATCTTTCAAACACTGGTAATGGTGACTACCAACTCAATCCCGCTATTATCGATCTCCTTCACTATTTCATAATCATCTTCTCACTCTCATTAATCCAACAATTCTGTCTTGCTCATCTCCAAAAACATTCATCCCTTTTCTCAAAATGTCATTTCTCTCACCCAGTGCTCCAAATGTGCTGGCCATTTTTTAGTTCCCTTTTTTAGGAGGAGGTTTCACCATCCATGCCTTTGCCCCAGAACTACTCCTGCCAGAATGCCTTTTCCTCCAACCCAAAACTGTTAACAGCAATAACAAGCCTACTTCATTGTTCAAGAAAGCTTAAGTACCACTTCCTCAAAGAAACTTAATCTGATCCCCTATGTATCATATATATTCCAGATACCTTTCTTTAAAAGCACCTCTAATTTTTCATGTATATTTCACATATCATTCATGTATCACCTCAGTGCTATACTGGAAGTTCCTGGAGAACACTTCCGTACCCTTAGCACCTAAAGGAATGCTTGGCATGTGTTAGGCATTCAATTTGCTAAATTCATGAATTACAAATGTAACTGTGTGAAAGAATGGAGTCTGGGTACTTGCTAAATAAAGTTAGACAAGTTTACACATGTCTGGAGTTGCCATGTATCATAGTCATTCTCAGTATATGCAGGGGAATGGTTCCAGGATCCCCACATATACCAAAAGCCATACACATTCAAGTCTGGCAGTTCACCTGCCTATGCAAAAATTTGACCTGCACATGCAGGTTTTGCATCTTGTGAAAACTGTGTTTTAGGTTATGGCTGTGTTTGGTTGAAAAAAGATTTACCTGTAAGTGGACCCATGCATTCAAACCTGTGCTGTTCAAGGATCAACAGTAGTTTAAATACACCAAGAATATTTAATATCCGGTTGCTATGACAATGAAATTAGTAAAAACATCTCAACTCCCCCAAATTAACTAAATTTGTAATATCTCTTTCTAATATATTCTGAGTGCTATTTAGTGAAGTCACTCTAATAACATACTACAAAAATGGATACAGGCCGGGTGTGGTGGCTCAAGCCTGTAATCCTAGCACTCTGGGAGGCTGAGGCGGGCGGATAGCTCACTCAAGGTCAGGAGTTTGAAACCAGCCTGAGCAAGAGCAAGACCCCGTCTCTACTAAAAATAGAAAGAAATTAGCTGGACAACTAAAATATATAGAAAAAATTAGCTGGGCATGGTGGCGCATGCCTGTAGTCCCAGCTACTCAGGAGGCTGAGGCAGTAGGATTGCTTGAGCCCAGAAGTTTGAGGTTGCTGTGAGCTAGGCTCATGCCATGGCACTCTAGCCTGGGCAACAGAGTGAGGCTCTGACTCAAAAAAAAAAAAAAAAGGATACAAATATATGGAAAAATACAAAGAAATCACTGTATGAGTAGAAAGCTATCTCATTCAAACAAATGGACATATTTATTAAGTAGCTGCCACATGTAAAACACTCCGCTAGATGCTGCGGGAGAAGAGTATGATGGAAAAGAGTGGTCTTGATCCTCAAGCATCTTTTCATAAATGCAGTAATACGGTTGCATAAATAATTAGAAAACAAAGGCTAAGATAATCTATAATACAAAGATGACTGAACTTCAGGTTTCTGTGACCAGAAAAGGCTTAATGAAAAAGCTGGTCTTGGAGAATATACGACTCTGAAAGAAATGAAAAGTTATGTTCCAAAGCAGAGGTAAACTCAACTAAAAAAGTAGATGCAGTACAAGCAGGTCGGCAAACCGTGGGTTTCCTGACAATGTGGGAGGCCCCAGGTGGGGAACAGCAGGAGGTGGGGCTGGAATGGAAGTACATGGCCACAGTACAGAGAGGGCCTTGGCAAGTCGGAGGGGAGTGTGTGCTTGCCTCTCACACCAAGGGCACACGGGCTCCACTGAGATGGCCGGGGTCCAGAGAAGAATGAAAACATTTTAAAGGAAAACAAGAGTTCACTGCTTCTATAAAGCTGGCAGAAAGCCTCCTCCTTCACAGAGAGCAAACATGGACTCAACTGTTTTTCCTCCTGAGATGTAGGGTCTTTGGAGCCCCAGTAGTTGGTGGCCAGTCTAAGCTAGCTATGTTGGGTAAGGGTTCACCAAAGCACTGCTTGGTTTCACATCCTAGTACCGCTGGTTACTAGTTGTGTAACTTTAGACAAGTTACTTAACCTCTCTGTGCCTGTTTCTTCTATAAAATAGGGACAATATACTACAACTTACCTTAGAGAGTTGCTATGAGGAATACGTTAGCTTACACAAAACAGTGATTCTCAGTGAGGTGGTGGATGGGGGGGGAAAGGAAGGATTCATTCCCCTCCTTCCACCTGCATCCCCCAGCTCTGAGGTATCTGGCAAGGTCTGAAGACATTTTCCAGTGTCCTAACTAGAGGAGGTGCCACTGGCAATTAGTAGGCAATGGTCACAGATTCTGCTAAACATCCTACAAAGCACAGGACAGTCCCCAAAACAAAAAATTATCCATCCCAAAATGTCAACAGTGTTGAGGATGAGAAATCCTGACATAAAGGATTTGCAGAACAGCTTCTGACACAAATAAAGCCCTCCATAAGCATTAGTTATTATCAATAATACCAAAACCAAGTCGTGGCTGGTACTCCTACCTCAGCTGGAGAAAATTCTAATACTGCCTTCTGTTACCTTTGATGACTTCAACATACCATACAAATAGAAACAGGTAACTTGAAATTCTGTGGTTCCACATCAATAATTCAGTAAGCGGTTAATTCAAAAAATAATTATGAGAATATATTCTCCTGAAACAAAAAGCAAACAAGAATATACTTTGCTGAGCAATAGTGAGCAATATTTGAAAAGTATATTGTCCTGAAAAATACTGGACATGGACACCTGTGATAATCCCAACTTAGAAGGCAGTAGGCCAAATTCCTGCAAGCTCCAGATTTAATACACTGAGCATGCTCACTAGTCCCAAGACACTATTTGGAAAACTATGACTAGAGAGGAAGTAGAAGGGTTTTAAACTAAAGAGCCTATTAAAACTGATACTACACCAATGCCTGCCCAAGAAAATCCTCCAGGCTTAAACAGCCCAGAGTTAGGGATCCTTGGTGAGAGTTCTGTCTTTGATCCTGATTCACAATAAGAGGTACCTTGCAGATCCAGGTCAACTCACAAAGCAAGTGAAAAAAACAGAAAAGGCCTGAGCTGTACTGACACATCATTTCCTACCAAGAGTTCTGACACAGAACATGAGAACCGATGAAAACCTGCAACAAGGCCCTGTTACTGTGAACCAGGAGCACTGACCAGGCTTCATAGCCCTGCAAGTAACAAAAGGGGTAGGCCTCAGTTTCTCACCTATAATACTAAAAAGTGAAAATCACTATTACTACTTTCTAATACCATAAACACAGAAAACATGGTTGTTTTGCCACAATGTGTCTCCAACATTTATAGCACAAAGATTTGAGTTCCTCTCAAGAGATACCTGGGCAACTGTAGAAGTCAGACCCTTAAGTGGACAGAAATGAGATTCTATTAAATCAAAGCCAAAAAAGCATAAAAGTATAACAGTACTTCTCTCAAAGAAGAGGTAATAAAAGTGTAAATAAAACCAGAGGGTTCTATAATCTGCAAAAAATTGGGCATGTATAATAGAAATTGTCAAGTCTCTTAAGCTCAAGTCAACATAAATTTGAACACCCACATATATAATAATAGTGCATTATCAACATAAAGAAGACTGGTCAACCATGTCATAGAGAAAGACTTCCAAAAGTGCTATAAAAAAAGAAGGCTTCCATTAAAGAGACACAGGAAATGTCTTATCGAGAAAGCAGCATTTGAGTGGACTTAAGAAGGACAGGTAGAATTTCGACTAGCTGGAGTTTTCCATCCACAGGGCTTTCCAGGCAGAACACAAGTAATGGCTCTGAAGCTGGAAAGCTAGAGGCAAAGATCATGAGTTCAGTGTGGGGGAATGGATTCTCAGTAAAGGACAGCTCTATAATTTTGGGTCAAATTATGATGGCCTGGGTCTTTAGAACATGGGTTACGGTTACATGAACAATCTTCTTCTTTTTTTTTTTTTAAGGGACATGAGGTCTCGCTCTATCACCCAGGCTGGAGTGCAGTGGTGTGATCACAGATCACTGCAGCCTCCAACTCCTGGGCTTAAGCAAATGATTCTCCAACCTTAGCCTCCCAAGTAGCTGGGATTAGAGATGTGAGCCACCATACCTGATTGGCATAGACAATCTTAAAGGACAAAGACACTCAATCAAAATATCCAGTTCTTATATTCTGACTTAAAGAGGAAAAGCTCTCTTTTGCCTACATTTAAGTATATATCAATATTTAAGAAAGAAGATATTAATTCCACTAATATTATTCTAGTATGACTAATGATGATAATCTCCATTAAGTTATAGGAGAGTTAAAACACCACCAGAAAGTAAATTAAGGTATTTATTAGTCTGTTATTATCATCTAATATATTCCAATCATAGTTATTTAAATAAGCAAACCTTAGAAATAAATAATGGGTATTTTAAAATTTTAGGACAATAGTAACCCATTTCTCAACCATATAATTTATAAACTCTTGTCCACTAATTTTCAAAAATAACATATTCCTGAAAAAGAGAACTTAATCACTAAGCTGACCCAAGGACTTCCTCAATTACAGGAAGAAACTCCACTTGTTAACAGAAAGTGTGAGCCAGCAAACTGTAGGCAACAGTCATACATTTCTAAGCATAAGGTTGAAGCTAGGAAAATAGTAACAACTTTTAAACTTCCTTTCAAACATTTCTGAACTGAAAACTTAAAAGAGTTATTTTTAAACCACAGCTTTCGATTAATAGAAACCAAAGATTCATCCAGGAAGTTTACACTTGTTCATTGTTCAGGAAAGAGAAGGAAAGTAAGGCAAAGCATTATTTTAGCCCAAGAAGCAGCACTGTCTTTTTTTAAATTACCTTTTACAAGTTTATAAACAGTAAACTCAAGATGTTGAAATATTATATTTTTACATATACAGAAATCTGTTGATATGAGACATTAGAGAAGGAAATACAGCAGAAAAAAACACTGTGCTAAAAATCATCAGGGTGAGATTTAGTACCAGTTTGGCCACTATCTGTGTTACGTTTTAAAATCACTGATATCCTCTGGGCCTCCACAGCCCCATCTCTAATCTGACAGGGCTGAATCATATCATCTCTAAAAGTGCCACATCATAAAACATAATTTTAAGTAATAGAGATTTGTAGCTGCTGTTATACACTCAGGGAAACAGCAGGGTGGAGTAGAATGAATTTGGCTTTAATGTAAGGCTAATAAGAGTTCAAATCCATGCTCCATCAGTACTAGCTGAGTGGCCTGAAGTGTAAGTTTCCTTCACTATTGAAAAGGTTTAATATTTACCACTGCAACATGTTAGAAGAATTATAATGACTATAGTAACGTACCTGGCACTATGTAGGTATTAAATAAAGGCAGGTGTTATGTCCCTGGTCAGTAATACAATGGAAAAAGATAATCCACCTAACAATGCAGCTTCCTAGAACTTGGCTGGGAGAAAAGCAGACTGACTGCCAGTGCTTTCCAAATGGAAAGCAGGTAAAGATAATATTGGAGAGGATTCATGGTTGGAAGTAGGCAGGATAAAAGTAAGTAGTTGAAGGTAAGCACAGGCTTTGAGTCCTGCACATAATAACAATGGGAAGGAAAAAAACTGCATAGGCTACAGTCCTGGAGGAAAGAAGGCATTTTTTTCATTGTGACAACCCCTGGAGGAAAAAAAAAAAAAAAAATATAAATATATATATATATATATATATATAGAGAGAGAGAGAGAGAGAGAGAGAGAGAGAGAATTACTGCAGTGATTTCTTGATCAAAACAAAAACAGAATGTTGGTTAGAGTCTGAGTGTCACTAAAAAGCAAGGAAGACTTTGCAATATTCCAATCATTTTCCCCTTGCCTATCTGCAATTCTTACATGTGATACAGATGATCCAATTCCTGCTCACCTCTCCAGTGTCACTTCCCACCACTGTCCCTCCACCTCACTCTCCCTAAGTTCACTCTGCTGTAGCCATAGTAGATTCCCTTCATCCTGTAACACACCAAGCTCATTCCTCCTTTAGCTCTTTTGCACTGTTACATCTGCTTAGAAACTTTCAGCAGGTCTTCAAATGGCTGACTCATCTAAATACTCAGTTCTCACCCAAGCCCTCACCTCCTCTGGGAAGTCTTCCTGACCACCATATCCAAATTTCCTCACACATCCCAGTCACACTCAAGCTCTTTACCCTGTAACATCTTTTTTAACATTTACTACCATTTAAAATTGTCTTTTTGATTTACATATTTATCTTCACCAAAATGTAAGGTCTTTGAGGACAGGGGCCTTATCTAAATTGTTTACCATTGAATCTCCAACAACTAAGACAATGCATGGCATAGACACACACTCATCAGATACAATGTCCAATGAATAAATTCAAATGATAATAATCACCATCCTTCTGTGAACATAAGTACTCAGAAGTGATTTAATTTAATTTCTTTAATGCAGTTTTGCATAATGCAATAATGAAGTTTTAAAAGGTCCATGTTTGAGACAGCAAGATTTTAAAGAGAATACATTCTTCATGACAACGTATTGTATAGCACATGTTTTGACTTCATGAATATGAAATAATCCACCATCTTATCAGTATATTAAAAAAAAATCAAGGATACCATAAATTGTTTTCTGAGATCCTGCTTCTAGAAAGAGATGTATGGGTAGATGGTATGTAGATGGAAATTATCTTTCAGAACCCTTCCCAACAAAGAACTATGATATGACAAACTGGATTAATACTAATATAGTTAAAGGTTAGACCTGTTACTTTGTTACCTTGCTAAACTTAGCCAAACTATTACTGAGTCAAGTGATGAATTCAGTGATTCCATCTGTGAAACAGAAGACAAATGACATGATGAACTTCCACATTAACAGAATGGTAAGAAAAGTTCCATCCACAATGTCAACCTGTGTTTGAATTGAGAGAGAGAGAAAAAAAAAAAATTTCTTTCTAACCCTAAATCAAAAAGTAAGCACTCTACTAAGATTTCAAAAAATTTCAAGATATCCATGAGTGGGCAAAGCAGTGAACTGAAACCACAGCCAAAACATTCAATCGTGCTTAAATTTTTATTCTGTTTTGAATACGACTTATTTTGATGAACAGAAGAGGCCAGTAACCGACTGCACGGACAACCACGCATCACCCCCAGTCACCATTCTTGGTCACTCTGGAGGACCGATGGCGCCAGCACGGGGCTGGACGCCACGAAGAACTCATCGGGGTCCGCAGGCTGGAGGAATGGGGACATCATTACTGGCATCCATCCCTGAAGCCCGAGAGCAGCGAGGCTCAGGATTCTGCAACTTCACTTTTGTATCCATTGTAAGCACAGCCTGCCTCGCCCCTCCTCCTCCCCCGGAGACGCGCGCAGGGCAGGGCTCGGTAAACAGAACGAACGGGACGCCTGGGCTGTGGCCCCGGTCCTCTGGTCTCCTGTGAGTCCCGGGCAAGTCATCTGGCCCTGGGAGACTCAGTTTTCCAACCTGTCAAATAGGGTGACCAGAAACCCAGCCTACCTCATCGGGTGGTTCCCAGCCGGCCGCCCTGCGCCGGCCCCGGGACTGCGGCTCCGCGGTAGCGCCCCAGGTGGAGGGGCGGGGCTCACCGGGGCGGAACCCAGCGCAGAGTCCAGCAGGCGACGCGCGGACCACCACCACCACCTACAGTCAGCAGCCCCGGGACCTCCTCGAGGACCCGACCCGTGACGTCAGCACGCTGACGTCGACGCACAGAGGCCGCATCTCGCTTGAGGTACCCGGGCCCCATCTGGGACCTGAGCGCCCCGTAGCGGAACAAACCGATTGGTCAGAAGATCCGTCAGTCACTTACTGACCAGTAAGCGACGCGGAAAAAAAAAGAGGGCGGGCTGGCCTGCCCGGAGGAATGGGTGGGAATCTGGGACTCGGGCTTTGAAAGCCCGGCGCTTTCCCGCATTTTGCGTCACACCGTTTTAATAGGCGTGTGCTTCCTCTTCGTGGAGGATTCTGCTCCTTCCGCCTTCTTTCCGCCACTTGGTGGGTATTTAGGCTCCAGCTATTGGGAAAAAATAACGGCACTGGGTTTCAGGGCCTCTGGGCACTCATTCTGAGCGCTCTAGTAATGGAAACACAGGGCCTTCCGTTTGTATGCCGGGGTTCACTCCCCGCGTCTCCGATACTCAGAATTTTCAGTTCCCCCAGCCTTATTCAGGAGACCTTTTCCCTGCGCTCCTCTTTCACGAGTGCAGTCTCGTAATAGTAGTCACATTTACTTGTATTAGCATCTCTTTTTTCTACGAAGTTGGGCGTCTTTTAATTTATGTAAAATTGAATTAAACCTTTTTCTCAATAGATGATACAGTTACATCATTCCCATTTTTAAAGGTACAGTGGAGTATACAGTGAAAATTCTTTTGATCCCCATTCCTCAGGCACTTAGTTCGCCTCTTGGGGGTAACTAGAGTTGGATATTCTTCCAAAGTCATTCTAACTGCTTTTATTTAAAATTACACAGAAAGAATAATGTCCATGCCAAAAATGTAAACATTACAGATTATGCGGATCTGCCTTATCCTTTTAAGGCACTGATTACAAACCCACACCCCAGATGGTGGCTCCTGGTTCCTAAGCACTTACATGTGTGGATGTTATTTTTTTACACTCAACATTGAGACCTTTCCTTATCTATGTATAAATTTGCCTTGTTCTTTCTAAATGTCACATCGTAGTCCTCAGAACCAGTATATGCAAAATTTAATTTACCATTCTTCTGCCCTCAGTCATGTAGTTCGTTTTTTTAAAAAAATTAGTATTACTAGAAGCAGTGTGACCATAAACAAATGCGTAGGTGTCTTTTTGTACTTAGGTCCAAGTATTTTCTAGGGTAGAGATACCAACAAGAGGATGTACTGGGTCATAGAGTATGCACATTTTAAATCCTTAGTAGATTCTGCTATTGCTCTTGTAAGCAGTGGTTACAGCTTACATTCCCACTCACATTCCCACTCCTAGTATTTGAGCAATCCTTTCCCTGTATCCTTTTCAAATTGATAAAATACTATCTTTAAAATAATTCTAAATTGATGAGTATGCAAAAATTTTAAAGGATAACGCGTATTCAAAAGAAATGCAATAATCTTAAGTGTTTATCTTGGTGACAAAGTGAACAAACTTTTGTAACAACAACCCATACAAAAATTTTAAATGTTTTCCAGCAATATAGAAGCTTTCCTCACACTCAGTTTTAGTCATTATACCCCCTCACACACAGACAGTCACTATTTTGAATCCTACTACCAAATTATTTTTGCCTACTTTGGAATATTTGCAAATAGCCACGTATAGTATGTACTCTTGTGTGGCTCTTTTTGCTTCATATTATATTTGTAAGATTGATCCTATTAAAGAACATAGTATTTTATTTGGCATATGTTATTTATTTTAATTTTGGCATATAATTCCAAAATTTCTTCATCTATTGTACTGTTGCTTGACATTAGGTTATTTAAAGTTCAGTATAATTACAAATGATGCCTCTATGAATATTTTTGTAACTGTCTTATGATGCACATAGCTACACATTTGATTTTGGTTTATTCCTAGGAGTATTACTGTGTTACAGAGTATACATATATTTAGCATCAGTAGACATTACCAAATGGTGTTTTGGTTGTACTAATTTACATACCCACTAACAGTGAGTGAAAATTTTAGTGTCTCCACATCTTTGCCAACACTTGATATTGAGAACTTGAACTCTGACCTTTTTTTGTTTTTCTATTGCCCAAATTCCTTTCTAAGAAGCCTGGTGAGTCATGCCTTACAAGCCATAAAATCTCATTAAACAGTTTTTTGTTTTTTTTAATTATTAATCTAGTATAATGTGGCTTACTTCCCAACCTGATTCTGGTATAGCATTACATGACAGGTAGAAGAATCTCTTAACGCAAGCATTCCTGTCTACTGACTACAATTCTTTAGACAAAGCTTAGCTCTTTCAACCAATTGCCAACTAAAGAATCCCTAAAACTCCCTTACGACTTGTAAGCTCCCACTTCAAGATTTCCTACCTTCAGGATAAACCAATGTATACCTTCCATATATTGATTTATGATTTTACATGTAATTCCTGTCTCCAGGAATGTATAAAACCAAACTGTAACCCAACTGCCTTTGGTACATTTTCTCAGGACCTCTTGAAACTGTTTTCCAGGCCATGATTATTCATATTGGCTCAGAATAAATCATTTTAAATATTTTGGCAGAATTTGTGTTCCTTTTTCTTTTTTTAAATGTTACACATTCTGGTAAATACGTAGGAATATCACATTGTGGATTTAATTTGCATTTACTGGATGACAAAATGAGTTTAGCACCTTTTAATATGTCTATGTGCTATTTGGATATTTCAAGTCCTTTGCCCATCCTTTAAGTTATCTTTCTTTATCTTATTGATGTCTGATAGATATTCTAGATATGAGTCCTTTGTCAGATATATGTATTGTGAATTTATTTATTTATTTATTTATTGCTGTATGGCTCACCTTTTCATTGCAAAATTAATCTTTGACTTATTATAATCTATAAATTAGTAGTTAGTTCCCAAATAATGCAAGAATTTTAGAACATTTTAATTTTATGTAACCAACTCCTAAGTTTTATACAGTTGTTTTCAGGTGTGTTTTAATTGTTTTTTTTTAAACCCAGCAAAATATTATTTTACACAGACAATATTTATTTAGGTTTATCCATATATCTGTGCTTTCCTTTACTTTTCATTACTTCTTACATTTCTAGGACTACCTCTGAAGTTATTTCATTCTTTTTTTAAGTTTTAGAGCAAGTCTGCTGGTGACAAGAACCCCTAGGCTGTGCAAGGTGAAATACCTAAGCTATTTCTCTTGGTTCCTTTGGATACTCTCAGATACAACAGTTTCCTTTTCAGATTTAATCTAGCATTGTGGTTATTCATGGTGTGAAGTTGGCCTAATACCAAATAGTCAGTTATAGTTCAGAATGGATCGAGCATATTGATGGGTGTAAATAATATTATTTTAGTGTCTTCTAATCTAGAATAGTGCTGTGCAACAATAAAAAATGTTTGGAGTTATGTTGGTAAAAATGGCAGAGTAGGCATCTACAATGGCCTGTCCCTTCATGGAAACATTGAAAAATTAAGCAGAAGCTGTCAGAATTAACTTTGTCAGAACTCTGAAAAGCAGAGTTTAAAATGGTAAGGAAGTTTCAGGGTATTTTTACTTCCACTTGAACATCCCCTGGCCAGCCTCTATAGTGATCCTGAAGAAAATATCGTGTGTGTTCAGTATGGTACTCTCATCCTTGGGTTGGGAAAGAACAAAGTAGACTTTACTCACAGAGTTGTGTTTGTCTATTCTAACCTACCTCATGGCTACCTGGGAACTGATCAAAGGTACTTGTCTTTGTTTTGCCCAGCTTGGAACTCATTCAGGGTAGAAAAACAGTGGGCATTCCTCAAAGCCTTGTAAGATTAATGAATAATTAACAATCACCTGGGGCAAAGTATTATGGTTGAGGCACAAATACGCCATGAAAAGCAAGGGAAGAAATGTTGAGTGGAGAGGTTTGTGTTTTGTTTGTTTGTTTGTTTGTTTGTTTTTAGGGCATGCAAAAGCACCTGTATATAAGTATGCTGGAGGATTTCAAAAGCCACAATTATGTCCAGGACAGGATGCATGATCAGAAAACACCTAAGAAGACCCTAAGTTTTCATGTTGTCTGATCTCTAGGCTCAGCAAAACGAGGAAGTGAAACCTAAGGCAGATTTATAAATAAATTGCCCAGATAAACATAGGAGTTCAAAGAATGGAGCCAATCTACAGACTCCAGGAGAGGTTTCTTTTGTTCTTGTTGCTAGTTTTTGTTTGTTTGTTTCATTTTGTTCCTAGGTGTTCAAGAAAATATCTGCAAAAACGCTAGTAGAATACAAGCTAGTGGAAACAGAGATTTCAGAAGCTACACATAGTAGATGGCGTAGCCTAGCATTGATAGAGTACTCCAGATCAGAATCAAACTGCAAAGTCTGGGAGAGTAATATGTATTTCTTTCTTTTTGTTTCTTTTTTGTTGATGGAAGGGGTGAGTGCTTCAGGAAATAAGAAATTCTCTGCCAGGTTAACCACAGAGATAATAGAACAGAGAATTAAGAAACCACACATAGCAAGTCTTGCAGAAACAGCTTGGAAAAGTCACTAAACAAATGAATAACTGCTGTCTTCAAGAAGCAACAGAAACAAACCCTGGGAACAGAAAAGAATCTGATTCTGAGAATTGTCACATTATAAAATTCAAAATGCCCCAAAATTCAGCAAACAACCAAACAAACAAAAATAGTAAAATATGGCCCATTCATAGGATAAAAATAAATTGACATAAACCATCCCTGAGGAAGCCCAGATATTGGACATATTATACAAAGATTTAAATCAACTGTTTTACATGTGCTCAAAGATCTAAAGGAAACTGTGGACCAAAAAATAAAATAAAATAAAAAACTGAAGGAAACTAGAAGAATGATATGTGGACAAAATGAGAATATCAGCAGGGCACAGTGGCTAATGCTTGTAATCCCAGTGATCCAGGAGGCCGAGGCAAGAGGATCTCTTGAAACTGGGAGTTCGAGGCCACAGTAAGCTCTGATCGCACCACTGCACTCCAGCCCAAGTGGCAGGGAAAGATACCATCTCTAAGTAAAAATATAAAAGAATATCGTTAAAGAGATAGAAATTGTAAAAAGGAACCAAAT